TATGCCATGTCCAATGACAGCAAGCATTCCTTCACAAACACACACTACAACCCACCACTACACGAGCCCAAAAACACCATTCCTTCCTGCACGACAGCAAGAGATGAATGAAACGATAAACTAAATATGTTCCTTCTTTGGCAGTCTGTGGGTTTGCTGTATTGTGTGCAACTGTCACGTTGATGTGGTAAGCAGGAAGCAAAAAAGTATAAGGCTTGACACCCAGAAAGTGAGACTTGCAGCTCTCATAAATCCAATGCTGAGTCTTCTGAAGCTATTTAGCTGTTGAATGCTTTACTAAGCTGAAATAATAATATGTAATAATAAATGATAAACATGTCTTTACATTTTTTTAGTTTGGGAAATGTTCTTAGCAAAAACTGGCATGATGATGAATTAATCACAATTAATTGCATATACATCACGGATCAAATGTTTGGAATAATTCAGATTATTTAATGTTTTTGAAAGAGGTCTCTTATGCTCACTATGATTGCATTTATTTGATAAACAACAGTAAAACAGTAATATTTTGAAGTATTATTACAATTAAAAAGAAGTTATTCTTATATACACATATACAGTATATATATATACACACACACACACACACATACATATATATATATATAGGGCTGGGCGATATGGCCAAAAAAAGTATCACGATAATTTTTTTCATATCAGTCGATAACGATAATTATCACAAAAAATTTCAAATCTTTATTTCTTTCAAGTTTAAAGACAGATTTTTGCTCCACAGTGAAAGTTGTAGAAACCAGACCATTAATTTTCCTTAACAAAATAAATATCTAAATAGAAAAATGTATTTCTTAATTTCTGCATGTTCGAATGAGTGATATTGTTTCAAATCAAGAAACAGGTTTGGGTTGCCTCATGATATTAATAATAATAATAATATCATTTTTTTGTCTCTTAGAAATGCACATTTGATAGTAGCTTGAGTTAGCTATCATTTTTTTGTCTCTTAGAAATGCACATTTGATAGTAGCTTGAGTTAGGATGCAGAGGTAAATTTTTGTTTATTATCAAAATCAGTAACATCTGTAAAAATTGTAGCAACCTCAGTTTTATATGGTTAAATTAATTCTGACCAAGGTTTTTTTTTTTAAGCATAAAAAAAAATAAAATAAAAAAAAGTTTCGTTTTTCCCCCTGCTGTACCGAAATCATACCGAACCGTGACGTTAAAACCGAGGTACGTACCGAACTGTCATATTTGTGTACCGTTACACCCCTAATATATATATATATATATATATTGTTGAAAACAGTTTTTGCTCAAAAACAACTGCTTAATATTTTTATGGAAATTGTGCCAGACTACCATTCAAAAATTTGAGGTAAGTTTCTTCAACAAGGACGCATTAAATTAAGTGACATTAAAAACATTTCATATTAGAAAATATTTATATTTTATATAAATGCTGTTTTTACACTTTATATTCATGAAAGAATCCTAAAACAACATCACAATTTCCACAAAAAGCAGCAAAAGCTGTTTTCAACATGGATAATAATAAGAACCATTAGTAACAATTGAGCACCAATAACAACTGATTATACCTGAGTGCCAAATCAGCATATCAGAATGATTTCTGAACGATCATGTGACACTGGAATAATGCTGAATTACAGCTTTTCCATCACATAAATAAATTATGTTAAAATATGCTAAAATAGAAAACAGAAAAAATGAAATTGTAGTTTTAATTTTAATTGTAGGCTATTTTAAATTTTTTATTTTATTTTTTGTTCAAAAAAATGCAATCTTGGTGAATACAAAAATAATTTTTGGTGAGACGGTGTAAGAAATTTTCCAAAGTACAAAATTCATAATATGTAATAATTAAATTTTCTATTCAGAAATTTTAAAAAAAAATAAACTAGCTAGGCTATGTTAACACTACAGCAGAAATACTGAAAATATCTAGACCCACTTTATACTAAGTGTCTTTAACTACTATGTACTTAGTTTTAAATTAATAATTTGATATAATGCACTTATTGGGTACATGTTTTTATATTGTATTTATATTTTTATACCTGTATTTACATCTGTATTAATTTATGTAATTACATCTCTAATTACACTGTTGACCCTACCTCTACCCCTTAAACGTAACCTGACCACCAAACCATCCCTAATCTTACCCATATCCCACCTCAAGATAGGGCTGGGCGATATATCGAATATTAGCAATAACATCGCAATAATTTTGACGACGATGTAAAATTTGAAAATATTTTGTAGCATACTTTCCCAAAAGAACGTGCCGAACGTCCAAAAAAGGAGACAATATGTTATTGCGGACTGCTCTACACGCCTCTACTACGCGAGCTTTCATGAGTGCGGTTGCCAGATATCAATAGTTCTAATCCCCGAATCAGAGCTTCGCCGTTACAAGCATACATTTTCTGCCCAGTGTTTTGCTTATTTTAAGCAATCTCAGTAGCCCCTCACTGCAGAACAAAGATCCAGGGGGCAGGGTTGGATCCACATCTAAGGGGTGGAGATGGTAGGTTTAGGGGTGGAGATGGGTGGGTTTAGGGATCAGGGGGTGGAGACGGGTAGGTTTAGGTATATGTAAGGTGGGAGGAGTTGGATCTGGATCCAACCTCGCCCCCTGGATTTTGTATTCAGGACCATCTCAGCAATCTGGCAACCATGCGCACGCGCTCGCTCCTCATTGCGGAAGCGCCGCTGCCGATGATCTGAAAACACTAACAAAAAAGCTGGAGTTTAGCTATCTAAATGAAAGCGTCACTCAACCAGTCTGTTTTCTGTCATGAGATCTTGACTGCATTGTTTGCTATTGTGATCGCTGAATAAATGCACTTACTCAACCGCGGTTGTTTGAATAGAGAAACATAGGCTATGGCAATTTGGAATTACAATTAGGAATTTCACTGTTATAATATTTTTCATTTGTTTTACCCGGTTTCATAATATAGACAGAGAGAGTGCATAAGTCTTTGGTATTAATTTATATATTACCTATGTGCCTATGTGAAATACGTTCCAGCAACTAGCTTTCCATCTGAGAGGGTTTTTAGTGCCAGAGGGAACATAGTTTCATGCCACAGAGCTTCTCTTAAACCAGAGACAGTTGACAGACTTGTGTTCTTAGCTAAAAACTTGTAAAAAATACTTATCCCAGTTTAATTATTTCCCCCAGTTGCACAGTGTAAATTGTGAATTGCATGCACCAAACAAGTTGACAGAATGCACTTTGTGTACTTGTTTTGCGCTACTTCAGTTACATATACATGTGTTCATTTAATAAAAAGCAGTAAGTGATCACTTGGTCTAGATTTTTTTAACTGCTTAAATTTGCACTAAACATTTTGTATTTGCTTTGTAACAATAACTTCTATCTCAATTGTTTTTGTTGTTTTTTTTAATGGGGGCAAAAGAAATTCATGTTTTTTTTATTATTTAAAAGCAAATGCAAACATATCGAGATATATATCGAATATCGTAAAAATTTTGACAATATCGAGATTTTGACAATATCTAATTTTTTTTTATATATCGCCCAGCCCTACATCAAGATCAGCAGATGTGTTTTGCAATACAATATGAACACAACAGCTACATTGTAAATAACAGTTCATTATGTTATTATTAAGTACATTGAATTTAAAGACACCTAATATAAAGTGGGACCAAATATCTTATACATAATAATTAGGGATGCACCGATACCGACAACAAGAATTCACCAGCACCTGCTCACACATGCCCAAACACAGCTCTTGCGCAAGCCAACAACAATCATTTCCAAAGAGTAACTGATACTGTCAGCGCTGACCTAATCATGTGAACACACGTGTCTGGACTTTCTGATAGAGAACCTGCGATAAACCAGAGAAATATACAGACTGCATCACAGGTTTCAGTTCTTGTTTCTGCTCTGTGGAAGCCGCTGCTATGACTGTCAGACAAATCAAAGCACACAACAGAGCACCTTCCCTTAAAAAGGCACAGCTTGATTTTTTCAAAAACACGATTGACTACCCAACATTATTTGACAGCAGATATTTATGAGCAGCCAGTAATATTCCAGCACTGATCACCGCAGTCTTCAAGACGGGCTCAATCAGATTGAAATGGCGAGGGAGTATGCTGCCAAACAGCTTGCTGAATCACATTCCTGCTAGACATTCTGCATGTTTTATAGTTATATAAATGCCAAAAAACCAAACAACTGTAATGCATTTGGTACTGATTGCCTTATTGGTTTTTTAGCATCATACTGTAGATATAAACATGCAATGCACCTAATGCAACCACTCCCTTGTGCACACATATTAGTTACATATTTGTTATTTTGAGTTCACTATACCTTTAAGCAACACTTTTTGATGTAGGCCTACTTGTGCAAACAGAGGCTCTGAATTAAACATTCTCAATGCAGGCCTAACTCACAGTGCACTATGCACAACATGCAGTGATTAGATCTTTACATTAGAGACTCTGGCCTGTCAACTGTACTCTGTGACGTCACTGTGTGCGCAGCTGAAGGGCTCAACATCCAAAAACATTGAATATCGGGTCTCATAATAACCTACTAAGACAACCACCGTAAGATGATGCATTTTGGGCATCACAATGCAAGTCATCTGCTGTCTAGGTACTAGTTACAACCAATATCAACCTTCGAGCTCCATGCTCATCATTATGATTGTGAGTGAGCGTTGCAACCGGCTATAAACATGCATAGCATGTCATACAATCGTGCATGTTAGAGGGGTGTGTATGTGTGCGCGCGCGTGCTACTGATCTGCAGGGACACACACACACACCGCAGATAACCTTGAGGATGACAGATGGCACACTGAACCCATACACGCATCATGAGGATGATGATGGTGGTGATGATGATGCCCACAGGTTGCATGCACACGCGTCACGCTTGATCATCGATCACGCACAGGCGTAAAATAACGCGCCGCCGCGCAGGTTTATTTCTTACTCACCGTGAACGGGACGTCGTGGACGCTTCCCACGGAATAGCAGCAGTCCCCCGGGTTAACGGCCCCCGTCAGCACCTGGTGCAGATGCATTTTTTGTTGATCACGCCGATGTTTAATTATTTACAACAGCGACGCTCGGTTTCTCTCCGGGAATCCCATCCGACAGCGTCCGGCCTGGCAGCCGCACATCCGTCTCTAAACACCGGTGCGCTTAAACACACACGGGCTCTGCTGAAATATGTGTCCTGGTGTCCGATTTCCTGCATAGAATGGTTAAAATCGCTCGTGTCGCGTCGCTGTCCAGCACTAACGAGCGGATTATACGTTTCTCCTCCGCTGCTGCTGCTGAGACTGGAGCGCGCGGCACGATCACCGCAGCGGCGCTCGTGCGCTCAGTGCGCGCGACCAAATGACAGCGACTGTGTAGATGTACAGCAACTAGATTCACTTTCTTAACTGAGCCAAAGACCCCCAATATAAATATTTTTGACAAAGTTAATAAATAAATAAATAAATAAGACGTGTTTCTTATTAAAGAGTATTTAGATGATAATAGAATTGTATTTATTTAATCTTTTCTAAATTATATACATACATGAAAGTAGTAAGCCCAACTGTGCATTATTTATTTATTTATTATTATTATTATTATACATTTTATTTTTGCAGCGTAGTGGCAGGAAAATATAGAGGGCTAAATTACTCAAAATTAAATCATTAAAAAGGGTTAAAATATATAAATGAATTGTTAAATACATAATTAAATGCATAAATAAATGCATAAATATTTATTTATTTATTTATTTATTTATTTAATGCACATCCCGACAACCGTAACCCTGAAAATGAAATGTGGAGGAAATAAACAAACAAACAAACGAATGAATGAATGAATGAATGAATGAATGAATGAATGAATGAATGAATGAATGAATGAATGAATGAATGAATGAATGAATGAATGAATGAATGAATGAATGAATGAATGAATGAATGAATGAATGAATGAATGAATGAATGAATGAATGAATGAATGAATGAATGAATGAATGAATGGATGCATAAATAAATAAATACGCATTTATTTATGTATTTAATTATTCAATTATGTATTTAACTATTTATTTATATATTTCAAAATTAATTTAATGATTTAATTTTGAGTAATTTGGCCCTCCATAGGAAAAGAGGTACACAACACTGGAGAAAACGCACGTTGTGTTTATGGGCGTTTATTATTTTATAAACGTCACGTGATCCCGTTGAGGAAGACAGACCAAATCAGCTCTGATGACGCTTTCTTTTTAGCGTCTATAAATCATTTACACATAAACGTTTATGTTTAAACCCATTATATTGATACAACTGCGGGCGAAACATAAACGCTTTGCTTGTATGACATTCTCATTTTTGAAAGTTTGGGTGTGTTAGCTCTTTCTAGTGCGTCTACATCTAGGGCCTTTAAAGCTCTTCCATGTTTCCGTAGCGCGCGCACGAGCGTGACGTGTCTGCTGCACGCGGTCATTGATCGGTGAGCGAGGGTGAGGGAAGAGAAATGCGGGGGTGTTCGGTGTGTCCCGTTCAATGTAGATCACACAGAGCTCAGGTGAATAATAAAGACATTGAGTTATTTGGGTGTGATTTCACACTGCCCTGAAGGAATAAACGCTATATTCACACTCAGCGCTACAACTGATCCCGATCAGGGAATCCCAACACCCCTGCACGCGTCAGTTTGGTGTGTTCTGGAAACACATTTCATGACATTAATAACATTACATGAAATTCATAATGTTATATGACATTTACATCATTGACAGTCATGGCACGACGTTCATAACATGATAAAACAATGTGATAAATGGCATTCACAAATTATTAAATGGCGAATATAATATTACATAACATTGAGTTCCATTACATTCATAATACTCATAACAGTGTTTGGCATTTATAACATAACATGAAATGTACAGCTTAACACTGACAGTGATGACATGACATTCTTAACATTAAATTACATAATACGTGCCATTCAAAACATTGCATAGCCTACTATTTGTAATATTGCATAACATTCAAAACATGATAAAGTATGACATTTATAATACTGCATAACACTCATAACATCCATTGACTCAAATTATAGCAAGCATAACATTACATTATAAGTGCATGACATTCATATCCAATTTATAACATTAACAGTTATAATGTTCATAATAGTCTATTAAATAATATAATATTCATAATATTAAATGACATTCATAATACATGACTTTTACAACATTACATGACATTTGTGATATTACATGACATGATAAAACAATACAAAACATGATAAAACAATCATATTAAATGACATTCCCATAATAATAGGTAAGATTTATAACACTGCATACCAGTCATAATGCCACTTAGCTGAAATTATCATGTAGCAAAAAATAACATTACGTACATGGCATTTAGACAGTATATTACATTCATCACATTGACATTCATGGCATGATATTTAACATTAAATTACATTCATAATAATACATGCCTTTCACAACATAACGTTTGTAATATGATATGACATTCATCATAATATGTTACATCATAACACTCAAAACACCACTTGACTCAAATCATCATGTATCAAACATAACATCACATGACATTTATAACATTACATTACATTTTCAATAATTAATGACAATATTTACATGCCATTCACAATAATACATTATATTTATAACATATGATACATAAACCATTACAGTACACAACATTCATTTTATGACACATAATATTCACATGGCATTCAAAATAATACTCTGCATAATACTGCATCATTTATCCTAATAATTTATGAAATAAAGTCAGAATAATTTATCTTTTTAGATTTTAGGATACATGCTTGAGAACTATAACAATTCGTGTGTCAGGTTTAATGTTAAAGAAGTAAAAATGTTATTGTTACACTGTACAATCCAACACAATGACTAAGCAAGTTTTAGTTTTAACAGCAACCCTCTGTGATCTGGGCCTTGCATAAATGTCCATATGCACCGACAGCAAAGGGTCCAGCGTGTCACACACACACACACACACACACACACGCACACACACACAACAAAACATCCTCTCTCGTGAATTCCACTTTACAAAACAGCTACTAAACCTTTATCTGGGTTGAACATTGACTTGTGGGATGTGGAAGTTTTGAATGGATCTTTGTCATTTCAAGAATGTGACTTAGTTAGCTTGTGTGATGAAAGATATACAGCATGCAGCTATGTTTTCTGACTTGTGCATCACACGGGCATAATCATAAACACCACCGCAGAGTATTTATAAATGTGTGAAAATGGCTCTGCTGCCGTCTTGCTGCACTGTATGTTTGCGAGAGAGCTCAAGCGCATGCATGTTATACAGTATATGATCCCCAGAATGACACTGAGAGGAAATGACAGTCATGTGCTACAGCCTACAGCGCAGATCGCCCTTGGTCTTTTGACACAGGGGATTCCTCTACACACACTCACAAACATACACACTAGGCCTCTGGTACATCAGTATTTCAGTAGCCTCTCACGCTCTCCTCTCATTTTGAATCATATTCTTTATCCGATATCCATTGCTGGTAAATGCTATGTTGCATTCCAGGCTGTGTTTGTGTGAAAAGCACAGTTTTCTTCTTTTGAAGAGTCTTCAGAGAACTGCTGAGATGCAGAAAATCAGTTTACTATGGAACTTTCACAGGTATGTGTAAATTGCTGATATCTGTGTGGTGACACTGGCCCAAGATTACTTTATATTGACCTTTTTTTTGTTGTTTAAGGTCTGCGCATGAGGGAAATGAGTTATGTTTGAAAACAGTGTTTGCTGGTAGATGCAGAGTAGACCTTCCTATTTAAACAAAACAAATTATATGTTTACTTTATGCCGGACTTTTAGGAGTTTTAAAGGTGTCAAGGTGGTGTAACCATCCTGTTATTATATATAATAAAAGTCTGAAATTCTGAAAAATATAACAACAACAACAATAATAGTAATAATAATAATAATAAACAAACACACAAACAAACCAAAGTTTTGCATAATCTCTAATTATTATTTCTTAACAATAAGATCAATAATACTAGTAATATAGATTATAGTATATTGCTATAGCTAAAGCTCAGACAAGAGGCCGGGAGGCTTTCTCCATATATTATAAATCTTATTGGGTATGTTTACTGTAAAATGCAGGAAATAATATTGTCATTTCACAGGAAATTATATCACAAGAGGATCCCTGCAGATCCTGATATAAGTCGATAATTTTACCTTTGTAGGACATTGCATAGCTGCATGTAAAATTATATAACCCCAGAAAACTATATT